GTTGTTGTTGTTGTTGTTGTTACTGTTTTTGCCAACATACATATATCTTTTAATAAAGGGTTGTTATTTCTTCTGTTTTTTCCACATTTTCCTCGAGTAAAGCCCTTTAATTTGACATTACAATTGCAGAGAGGGAGGAGTTTGGTCTACCTCATAACTCATCCTCTTTAGTAAACAGTCCAGTCTCATCAGACTGTGACACTCAGCATGGTGCTGCTGCTGTGTGGGTAGCACAGGTTAAGGAATGATCTTGGGATTTCTGTCTCCTACTGCTTAAGACTAAAGACTTCTTGGAGATGCCACCCATGGTCTCTAAGAAGAGGGATCAGAGTTTTGGCCACAGCACTGTGTAGATCCTTCCCTTGTCAGTGCTTATTCCGTTTGTCCTGCTTGTGGTAGTGCCCCACAATAGCTAGCGCCTAAAAAAGGGAAAGAAAGGGCAAATTATGCACCTTGCAAAGCAGAGGGGAATCTGTAATTAAAATTATGCATGTATTTCACTTTTCCTTCCTCTTCCTTTTCCTTCACAAAAGCCATACTGAAAGGTTTTGAGAAACTTAACAGCAGGTTCTTGTAGCTTGACATTGATACTCTTTGTAGAATTTTGGGAGGGAATAAGATAAGCGTACATACACTTTGGCTACAATTCCATGCTCTTTTGGTGTCAAGATCCACGTAATTTTCTTTTGGTGGTATGATAATTTCCTTTAACTATTTGAGCAACTGTAGTATTTATTTCTATTTTCAATGATCTGTGATTTCTGTTCTTTGATGCAATGCTTTTTTTGCTTTTCATTGCACATAATAGTGTTACTTGGGTTTTCTCTTTGGCAGATGGTGTATTGTTCCCTGACTGAATTCCAGAAAGCTGTCTACCAGGCTGTGCTGGAGACAGATGATGTAACCTTGGTGTTACGAGCAGGAGAGCCCTGTAGCTGCAACAGTGGCCGGAAAAGGAAGAACTGTTGTTACAAAGTAAGAATTTGCACTGTTTGGATTTTAGAGCAGAGTCTTCTGGAATTCTTGAGGGACTCTGCTGATGAAGAGCTGATTGAAATGTCTGTCTGGTTGTAGGCCATCTGTTTGGGAAATCCCAACTGGGAAACATGGGTGGCATCACAAACGTGGTGGAGTTAGGCACTTTGGGATACTGCAAAGCTTCTTGGTGTGCCTTGAGCAGGTGGCTGTTATTCATGCAGTACATTCTGGATATGTTGGATTAATAAGTGCCCCTGTGATACAGTTGGTATTGGCAAGGGTACTTCCTTAGGATGTTCAATATGTGTCAGACATGCTGCTCCCCTGTGCCTCAGGTGGTCTGTGCAGAACTGAAAATGGGAGACATCCTCAACACAGCAGGTTGTCTGGGCTTTGCTTGTTTTCTAACTTCAGCTGGACTGTGTCTTTCTGTGCCATTAAACCTGCACTTGGTTTTGCTTCGTCGAAGGGAGAACTGTAACAGCAACCAGAGAGCACAATCTCAACTTTGTCCACTAGTAACAGCTTTGAAGATTTCTTCAATCTTCTCTGGACTTCTTCAATACTCCATTACTCTGGCTGTGTATCTGCTTTGCCCACATCACTCAGAAGGCTCAGATAAAGCACCCCTTTTAAACATTTAGAAACACGTCTCATGCTTGCTTCTCCCTGTTTTCTTTCTGACGTGTTCTGAATCTTGGTCAGTGTTTTGGGTTTTTTTCCAAAGGACGTGGCTTGTTCAGTCTTCCAAATCTTTCTTTATGCACAATCCCCCTATCAGTCTGTTTAATATTCTGTGGATACCAGCCTTCTTTTGCAAGCTTCTGTTTCTTGTATGTTTTGTAGAAAAATCAAAATGCTGTTGAACTTGATTCACAAAGGGCAGTAGGCAGGCCTACAGATAGTTAAGTGATGTTATGGACTGTCTTCTTCCAAAGTTAACCATGAAATTTAGTAACTTGAGAAGGGAAAGGAGAACAAATATTGATCGAAATCAGCCAGTCGTAGCCAGAAAAATAGCTGATGCAGTAGCTGCTGCTGTGTTGTAAATGAATGTTTGAAGCTTGAATTATGTTCAAAAACTTATATTTTTGCTGTAGAGAAAAGTGAAGTTAGGAGTTGTAGGGTAAGAAGTCATTGAAAAGCTCTGGTTTGATTTACATTTAAGTCAGGTGTAAAGTTACCATCTTTTTGTCTACTGAGCAGTTCTTGGCTATCTTAGTGTGATATCGACAGAAATTACTATCTGAAATGTTTAGCAAACTATGAACGTAGCTGTAGGGTTTTTTCTGTTTGAGAAGGTGTTTCTATTAGTAGGATCACAAAGCTGACGGGAAGAACACTCCAAACTTGCTTCTTTTTTATTAAAAATATAGTACACAGCTCTTTGGGGTCAATTATAGTTCTACTTAGAACTGTTAATGCATTAAACCTGGTAAGAATAGCATTTATTTTAGATCATTACTTATTTTCAGGAGTATTTGTTCACGTAAACTTTTTTATTTGTAGGTAAATGCACATGGTGAAACAATTAAGTCTCTGCGCTTCAGTTACCTGACGATCCTGCAGAAGGTTGCCAATCATGCTGCACTGCTGCAGACAGACAACACGAGCAAGCAACAGGTTAGTCTCAGAAGTATCTTGTGGAAAATGGGATGAAAACTCTCGAATGAAAATTTTTTATGACCTTCTGAAGTCTTAACTAACTGCAGTTAAGATATTTTGCAAAATTCCTTTTCCATTCAGCAGTTCAGAATGCAAACCTTTGAAAGGCATCATACAAAACAGTGTGTTCATTTAGTTGATGCATATCTGAAAATAGGGCTTATAGAAACATCGGACAGATTAGGAGGGAGAGTAATTTTTAGTGATTTCTAATAGTGCCATTTCTGTTACATTTATGATGAGTGCTGATAAGAGGAATGACTTTGTGCAAATAAATAAATAATAGGCAATTAGGGTGCACTTTTTTTCTCTAGTACTTTATATTAAGAGCTGATTTTGTTTAAATAATGAGAAACATGCTTTAGAAGAAAATGCTCAATGAGACATCACCATCAGTTTATCTTGTTACTGTGGCAAGTCACCTACAAGACCCACAAACCAGTAGAGTTTTTAGAAATGCTTGGATGTGATCCCTAAGATCCAGAAATGAACACTGGGATTTAGGAATGTTACCACTTTCTCTCAGAAGCCACTGAGGAAGAGAAATCAAGTATCCCAACTGATTTTGCAAATTTGTTCCATTGAAGCAGTTTTGCTTTTTAGGAAATGTTACTCTGACTGTCCAGGGCTTTATATACAGTATGTACCCAAGTGTTTTCAGTGGGCTTCTTTTCTGTATTCCATATGTAGTTTTTTATTGTAATAACATTTGGGGTTTAAATAACCTCTGAAATAACACAATATAAGTATTTTTGATTTAATCTATCACGCCATTCATAATTATTAACTGCCAAAATCCATTGAAGAAACCGATACTTTGTAGTATTTCTTACTTTTAGTATTAAAGTCCATTTCATGTTTTAGGTGAGATATGTGATCTTTTCTTTCTCTCTGGAAAGTGGACATAAATACGTATGAGGTTATGTTCAAATTCAGACCTAAATTCTAGCAGTGGAGCTTTATGTGGCTCTTGAACAGTTTAAATGCGCTTCCCATGCAGTTTTTTGTTGTATCAGTGGAAAAATATGTAATTCCCATGTGGGCTTATTGTGCCAGTGGGTCAAGAGAAATGCTGGTACAAAACTGTTGGGTAATGCAAAACTGAAGGCAACAGAATTTTTTGAGACTGACAGTTCTGGCCAGTCCTATTGCAGTTTTTGGCCAGGAGAAGAAACTTTGAGCATCTTTTACTCTAGTAGCTACAATCCATGGTTTCAGATTAGCAATCTCTTTTGTTTTTAAATGAAGTAAAGCAAAGCACACAGGGGTGTTTTGTGCAGTAGTTTTGTAGTGAACTGAATAAAAGCACACATAACTCTTCTTGAGATAGTTTGGAGATCACATTTCAACCTGTTTAACTCCTTGTATGGCTTACTGGTATCCTAATATAGCTCTAATTTTTAAGATCTATTCAATCTTTCTGCTTTTCTTCCAGGAAGCACATATCAAACGAGTTTGCAGCCAGGTATTTTCCAGTTTTCCAGATTTTGTGCAGTTAAGCAAAGATGCAGCCTTTGAAACCATTTCGGATCCAAAATACAGTGGAAAAATGAAGGTAAACCCATTCCCTAGAAGAAAAATAAGTATTATTAATAGTAATACGTCTGTGCTATAGTGTATGGATGTAAGAAAATGTACACCTAATAGTTGTGGGGGTTTTAATCATTCTATTTGTGGTTGGTCATACCACAGCAGGTATCTGCTGTCATGGATCAGGATACATCTGGGCAAAGACTGGATAAGATATTTGGAGATGTTAGCTTCATGTTTAATGGTGGGCATGGAAACTACTCTTGCAGTCAACAGAATTGTTGGTTCATGAAACCATGGATTCCAGTGGCAATTGGGGATACTTGGGAAAGAAAAGAGAGCAAAACAAAATCATTATGGACTTAATAATTGGTGCATACCTTCAGTATTGTGTGTACTTCCAGTCCCTCCTCTCAAAAAGCATGTGTTAGACCTTGAAAAGGTTCAGAAGAAGGTTCAGAGAAGGGCCACAAAGGTGATTAGTAACTGTGGGTCAGAAGCAGCCAAGTAAGCTGAGACTCTCCAGCCTGAAAATAATGTCTTAAGGATGAATGTGAGCAGGACTGTGGTGGTTTGAGACCCCCAAAAATCCAATTTCCAAGTCCAAGCCCCCCTCCCACAACTCACCCCAGTGTGAGAGGGGTTTTCCAGACACAAGACTCAATATGGGGGGAAGGGAATTATATTACAATTATTACACAAATAAATATTATAATACATTATATACATAATCCTAACTATCTCTCCAATGGTAAAGCAATATTTACATTGGATTAAATCTCTTTTCCCTCCAGTAAAAGTCCAGAAGGGAAGAAGGAAAGATCCTTTCCGTGTTCAGGGCAGCAGTGTCTCTCCTCTTCAATGCAGCAGTCGTAGCTGGAGTTGTTGTAGCTGGATCTCTCTCTCTCTCTATTACAGGGACCTACACAATCATAAGTAGTATGAATCTGGTAAAGGTGTACTGAATGCTTACTGACTTTTTGAACCCTTGGACATTATGGACATTAAATGAAAATAATAGAAGTCCTGCTAAAGATGACTAAAATAAATGTGTCGAGTATGAATCTGTAAAACACCTTACCTCAGAAACTGTCTTGCTCTGGTTTCAGAGAGGAACAAAAGATGTTTAATGATGTCTAATGCAAGTTAAAAAGAGTCTGAGGTACTTGTGGTGGTTTGGGCTAGACCTTCCTTGGTGACCAGTTTGTAACCAAGGAAGGGCCCAGATTTACCCAGTATTCCCTACGATTTTTACGTAAGCCAGACTATAAGAAGAGAGGAGGAGAGGCCTTCGCTCTCTTTCCTTCCAGCGGCTTTGGAGGTGCAGGTTCCCTGCTGTTGAGTCTGTTGGGTTGGGGAGCGAGGCCTGGTTGGGCCTTGCCGACCTTGGGAGACAGAGGTTGCCAGCGATCGTTCCGGAGCGACTCTCGGTTGTCCCAAGGAGAGTAGTGAGATATGTCTTTGCTAACTCTTTTAGTTGTTAGATATTGGGTCACTAATCGGGATACATATGTATATATTTTATTTTGGTTTTGTTCCTTTTCCCTTCCCCCTTCCCTTTCCCTTGTGAAATTGTATATATTTCAACTATATATAACTGTAACATAGGTGTAAATATATTTATATATATCACTTTAGCTGTGTCTCTCTCGTTTTGGGTTTTCTTAGGTTTTTTTTCTCCCTCTTCTCCCTGAGGTTTGTGGGCGGGGGAACTTCTGGTGGTAGGGTTTGGAGACTTGGCAGGGAGCCAGCTTCAAACCATATCAGTACCCTACTAAAAAGAAAACCATACTAGTTTTAGGAGTGTTCCTGGGCTGAGAGTAACTGATAAATTAGAAGCTGTGCAGGATTTTTGCTCTCTATAAGCCTGGTTATTCACAGTTTTTGGTTGGGACTGGTGGCAGTGGGAAGACCACATTGTTGTAACAGTAATGGCTATTACCACTTCATTGATTTGTTATTATGCAAGCAACACCTTTCTTTACTATTATTACATATGTGTGAGATACCTGCACGCTAACTTTGTTGTATACACTTAATTATCTCATGAAAATGAACATAGTTGTTAAATTTTTAACAATGCAAATATTTAATACATAGGTCTAAAAACAAAGTCTATGATCTTCAGTAGTGCTTATTAAGCAATTCTGTTACTGGTTATTCTCCCATGGTATTGCTCATGTTATTATTTTTTATATATATATTTTTTTTTTTTTTAATCTTGCATGGCTTTCTCCTGGAAAAGCTGGCAGCCTGTGGCTTGGAGAGGCACATTCTTTGCTGGGTTAAAGACTGGCTGGCTGGCTGGCCCAGATACTGGTGGTGAATGGAGTTACATCCAGTTGGTATCTGGTCACTGGTGGTCCCCCAGGAATCAGTGTTCAGCCCAGTCCTGGGCTGATGATCTCCATGAGGGGATTGAGTGCACCCTCAGTAGGTTTGTGGCACCTGGGTCAGAGCAGCCCTGCTGAGCAGGACCTGGGGGTGCTGGGGGTGAGAGCGTGGATGTGAGCTGGCATGGAAAGCTGAACATGTCCTGGGCTGCATCAAAAGAGATGTGTCCAGCAGGTCAGGGGAGATGATTCTCCCCCTTTGCTCCATTCTTGTGTCCAGCTTCACAGCACAAAAAGTACATGGACCTGTTGGAGTGAATCCAGAGGAGGGCCATGAAGATAATTAGGGGGATGAAGCAGCACTCCTACAAGGAAAGGCTGAGAGAATTGAGGGTGCTCAGCCTGGAGAAGAGAAGGCTGTTAGGGTGACCTTACTGCCACCTTTGAGTACCTGAAGGGAGCTTAGAAAAAGCTAGAGGCAGATCTTCTGCAGTAATAGGGAAGGGGGTAATGGCTTCAAACTGGAAGAGAGAGTAGGTTTACGTTAGATAATAGAAGGAAATTCTTTGTTCTCAGAGTAGTGAGGTGCTGGAACAGGTTTCCCAGAGAAGTTGTGGATGCCCCATCCCTGGAAGTGTGCAAGGCCAGGCTGGATGGGACCCTGAGTCTAATAGGTGGCATCCCTGCCCATCCATGGTGGTGTGGTTTGAAACTAGATGATCTTTAAGGTCCTTTCCAACCCACACCATTCTATGACTCTGATCTCTGTACCTGGAAGGAGTTTTATGTAGTGGGCTCTGTAGCCATATTGAAAAATCAACTGGGTTTTAGTCCATTAATTTTGACTTCAGAATAATGATGATGCCAAAAACTAGATCATAAATGTCTGACTTGCTGTTTTGTTTACTATTCTAAATTTTAAAAAGGAAGCTGTTGGTGATGATTTTGGGGTTTATGCTGTGGAAGCAAAGTCGTTCAGGAAGTATTTAATTTAGAAAGTCCTCTTACCGTGAGAAGGTAATCACAGGAGGGTCAATAGACACTAGAGCTTAAAAACTACTTTGTCAATTTGTAACATGTTTGTTTGGAAATAACTGAGACAAATGATAGTAAAATGTTTTTAATAACCTTGTCACACTGTAGTACTTTATATTTTCTGTTTCATAAATAAATTCTAGAAACTACTTGAAATTCTTTTGTAACTTTCATCTAGTAGTGTAGACTGAATAGATATTACTTAGTCTTTTAAATTAAAATTTAGTACAAACTACACAGAAATTTTGGTACAGGTGATTATTCTCTTGTAAATGAGCATCGTTGCAATGTTTTTGATATTTTTTTAAAATTTATTCAGGGAAAGGTTTGGATTTTTAATGAAGTTTATTAGCTAAGCTGCTGCAACTGTTTTGAAGAGTTGAACAGGTTAATCTATCTGCTTAAAGTATCTGTTATTCTCGAAGCAAGCAGAGATAGAACACATAGGAAACATAGCTTTTTCTTTGCAGGTTGTTCACACAGAAGTATTGAGGACTGCTTGGAAAAGAAGATGAGTGAGCATAGCTTTACAAGCCTGCAGTATTTCTCATTACTACCTTGCCTGATTATTTCTATGGTTTTGTTAAAATTCTGGCTCAGAGAGACTCTACTAGCATTTTAAGTGTAAAGGGCTATTAAATGTCTGGGCACTTAAAATAACTTTTTTTTTCTTTAAACTACACGTATAATGTTTCCACACACATCATTTTTGGGGTTATGGACTACTGTTCTTAATTAATACAAATCTCTCAGGAATAACTGCTGGGTTGATTTAATAATTTTTGCTTGGCATATTATCATTATTTCAGTAGGAAAATAAAAGTCTATTGGAGCACTTTGCAAATAATGATAACTTCCTCCATTAAACATAATTCCCACCCAGGCAGGCATGGCTTTGAAGTCTTTAAAATACTGTAGGCTAACTTGAACAGCTGTATACAAAAAAGATATTCTTAAAAGCCAGAGGTAACATTTCATCACACACAGACAACTCACAGTGTGTAGCAATGGGGAGACATGTTTAAATCCATGTGAACTCTTATAAAGAATTCTTCCTTTTGCTTGAGTATGACCAAATATTTCTGGTTTAGACTAAGACCATACAGGATAATACTCTGGTGCACAAGTGTAGAATTTATTTCTCTTTGGTGCAAAAACATTCATTACTTTTCCCTGTTAAGAGTTGTTCTTGACTTCAGGATACCTAAATTCCCAATGGGGATGAAATGGATCCACTTTATTTAAGCAAACTGTGTGGATTTGTTTTTGTTTTCTTGTATAGGAAAGTCAAGATTTGACCTGTACTTTTATAATAACAAAAACACAGTAGCCAATGCCTTCTCCTTTAAAAGAATGTCACTGTTTTTGTTCTGTTTTCTTTTCTTAATGTGGCTAAATAAAATGCAAATTTAAGTAGCATAGCTCTTGTTAAGCTACCCTTTGTGGATTTTTTTTTTCTCAAGTAAAAGAAGTCCTAGTTTATGTACAATGTTCATGTTTCATTGTTCATGTACAATGAAACCAGACCAAAAAAAAAAGTCTCTCATTTTTACCTTGTTTTCACTTCTAACAGCTGGATAATATATACTAAGTGACAAATAATTTCTGGGTTTTGTTCTAGATATTATCCAGAATTGCAAAGTTAATATAAACATTCATTGCTATTTGGTTGTCAAAAGATTTGTTAGGGTTTTAGTGAAATCAGTGTTGATTAAAAGTTTATGTATTTATCTGTAAATAAATATATTTTTTTAAACATTTATTGCCCAGTGGGAGAAAGCTACAGTCATGGTAGAGAAAATTCCTCTTTTCCCTATTGTGTATGACTTCTGCACAGTGCTCTGGAGCTGCCATTGCCAGATGTGGACATGCTTCTTTTGAAAATAACAGTATCACTATTATACACAAGGCTCTGGATTTTTTGCTTCCCCCCCCCAGCAGAACGTCGTGTGTGGGCGGATTATTGGCGTGTCAAGGGCTGTGCAGAGTCTGGGAAGCTGGATCCTACTGTAAACAGAGCAACAGATGAGAGCGGGAGTGGGGAGGGGCACACAGCTCACTGATTATTTTAAGAAGACAAGTTGTAAGAAGTTCTAAACTCAGATGTAGGACAGAAAATTTAAACAGACCTTCGACTTTTCAGGGTAAACGTGTGCATTTTTTAAATACAAGAACTCACAGTCTGATCCAGCGTGTGACATAAGGAACTTTTTGTTGCAATCTGTGCGCTGACATGAATAGGCTCTGAATTTACCTCTTAGTGGTCTGATGACCTTTTCATGGCAAGAAAGATCACTGAAAAATGAAAAGGTCCAGCATCTCCATTACCTTTGGCACATTTTATTCTGTTGGTAATGATTTTTGTTATGCCTCTGTTTGGCTTTGCAAATAATTACAGTGTACCCTATTTAGAGGTTGAAACCATCAGTAAGTGTTCATGAGATGATTTGTAGATAAAAATCTCTTCATTTGTGTGCTCTGGGTCATTTACAGGTCCTGCAGCAGCTTTTAAATCACTTCCGAAAAAATAAGGATAAAGTTCTTCTTTTCTCCTTTTCCACAAAGGTGAGTTCCATGTGATTTACATCAATTAACTGCAGCAGTGAGTTCTGAAGTGTGAAGCACTGAAGTGACACCTGTCAACCATATTTGGTTGGGAAGGAGTTCTGAGGACAGTGTGCTGTACTCCAGAAGTGTATTGAAACCTTATGTTATCTCTTGATAAAAATGGTGATGGCAAAGCAAATATAACACTCTTCTGTCTTCCTTAGAGCTTTTAAAAATTGTTGTGTTCCTTTGGCTGTAGAAAGCTGAGTTTTGTTTGTGTGTCTTGAGTTAGAGCGGTGTTACAGCACAGTATGACTGCAATATCATAAAATGTTTGTACTAGCATTGAAAGTTGTTAAATTTCCCCCATTCTGCTGACTTTTGACCATCAGCAGCAATGAAACTTCAATCCTGAAACCTGCAGCACCAGTTGATTTGAATTTAAAACAGTGTTTAATTGGAGCAAGAGGTATATGTACATTTCTCTTTTAAGGGACTTGCTCCTTGATTTTCTTATTAGGGAGTAATATGTTTCCTGAAACCCTGCACTCTATAGTAATAATGGCCAGTCTTCGCGAGCGAAGATTTGGGAAAGGTCATTAACCCTTCGAGCCTGCGCAGTGGATTTTTTAGGTGAGAC